TTTTATGGGGTGAAATAAAAAATACTATCCGATAATATTGTTTAAAAGTATAACAAATGCATTTACATTTCATAGTCATAAATTACTCAACAATGATATTTTATTTTGCGTTTAATGCATCTGATGCAAAAATATGGCGGTCAACTTGTCTACGGGGTTTATAGTTAAACAAAAACAAACAGACGACCTTATGTCTGAGCGGTTAGAAATAATAGTCAGTAGACTGGAAAACTGAGATGAACGTTTCTCAGAAAACCGTATGGTAATATCTTGTTTGGATTTTCGGTAACGGCCTGGCTACCCTCTGAAGTACTCTTTACCTCGCCATCTTAAATCTAGTGCAACTTAAAATTCCAATATCTTCAAACGGCTTACCTCTTGCTTTTTTTTTTATCGCTTTTCAAACCCAACGAGAATAATAACTAGACAACGGTCAAAACATTCGTGCGAATCGAAATTTAATAATTTCTCACAGCCACAGGGATAGCACGACGTATTCATTTTTTTCTTAATACTTGGAACCGTTTTTAATCACTTTTCCCCATCGGTATATCAATCTTATAGAGTCGTGCATTATTATTATTTCAACACAATTTTAGAACTCCATTGTGGGCGCTACTCATAAATAAAAACAATTAGTAGAGAATAATAAAAAGCTTCGATAGGTCACACTCGGTATTGCGCCCCGAGAACCGTTTTGTTATTATGTGCAGAAGACCATTGTTATCATTAAAAAAACAACGTTCGGAGCGCGTAATGCCCTGAGCTTTAAATTTTGTGACCTCGTTACAGAAACGAAACATTAATAGGAAAAATTGCATTATATGTTGTCGCATTTTTAAACACCGAAATTAATTATTGTCCAACAAGGTAAAGCATTGTACTTAGACGTCGTTATTGTTCATTAGGTTTACGAATACAACTAAAATAGAAGCGGAACTGGCAACGAGGGGTTTATCATTTGACGATTTAAACAGATCCTTCGGCTGAGATAGTCGTCATCGTTGGTCCGTATTGTTTGTACCGTGTAGAATACACCTGTGCGTGTAAGATTCATACGTGTGGGCATTATAAAGTAATTGCACAATAGCAGATCGCTGGCGACGGCGTGGGCAGTTGTTGTTGTCCGTCCGCCCCACGATTTTTTATTATCATTACTATTCCACTGTGTGCATATGTCGGCACACAATCATAATTTTGAGTATACGATCGCAAGAACACTTTCTTTTGTTGAAAACAACTTATTGACGTTACGCGCGTACTATACACGGATATTGTGAATATATACAATACCATTTTGGAGGGGGCCCCAGAGAGGCTATAGAGTTGAGGTCATTCCCAATTCCTTCAGACATCACTAATTTAACGTTTCAATACGCATAAAATAACTATAAAACATACAGCTTTTGTTGTCCGCGTGAGAAAGGGAAGAACATGTACACGCAACGATGAATTACATTAGGACAAATAAAACAACGTTAATTGCTTTGACACGACTTTATGATAATATTAGACAATGCAAAAAAATAAGTTTTTAATCAAATTTAATAACTAAATTATATAATTGGTGTTCATTCAGTGGCACTCGGTGTTTACTTCCTAAAGCGAATCCGTCACAGATAATATGTTTCTATAATAGAGCCATCTGTTATAACTAAAGGGATAATTATATCAAGAAAAGACATTTCACCTACTAAAACGTGTTTAACTTCCAAGAGCAATTTTCTTAAAAAAAAAAAAACTATCGCTGATAATAACGTATGCAGAAACCGAAAGTAACGTAATAATTATCATACAAACGAGCAGAATTATATCGTCAACATACACTTTACTTAACTCTATAAAAAATAACATATCTATTAACGTAGAGATAAATATTAGAATATTTAAAACAATTTTTCACTGCGATGGATCGTAGAATTTAATGTTAATGGCTAATTGTGTTCCCTTGTAAAATTAGTTTTTAAAAACAAAACCTTAAAAAAATACAACGCAATTATTCGTCTCCATGCGTAGTATTTTCTGTCATAACGATTCACATATGGAAAACCATGTCGATTTTCCCCTATACTAATTACCCGTATGTCGCCAATTTAGTATACAAAACAGTCGTTTCAAACAATAAAGATTAGGTGTTGTAGTATACAATTCCCTTGATATGTTCTATTGAACCATGAAACTTTGAGTCATTTATCCCTCTCGACTGAGACGTGCATTTCCACTCTAATTAATATTTTATTAAATTTTACTGAAAAGACCTTGACTTGTTTAGTTCCTTGTTATGATAGAGTGATACTTTCGGGAGTCTATTCTTATAATGTGCGCAGTAAATTGTCTTATAGTTAACTCGATTTAATTGTTTGATTAAAATATTGTTATTTGACATAACAATAACTCAACACCGTACACATCAAGTCATAAGAGTTTAGTTTCAAAAAATAACATCGTATAATTTTAGTTCTTATCAATACCAAGATTCCTTTTTGTGAATATATTGTTTATAAGGTCCAGGTCACTGTCCGCTATACTTTACTGTTTCGAAACAGATTCCATGAAGCGAGCTTCTCACTTCAAAGCACACGGTCCGGGCAAGTCCGTTATCTAAACCATTTAGCACAAAGAGTAGATAAACGCCAGGTGCTTAACTTAGTGTGCCGTCACTACACTTTGCCAATCGGTTAAAACTCACGACGTGCGCTCTTATCAAAACGTGAAATGAATATTAACTGTTAACTTCTTGTTGGTTAGATATATTTAAAAAATTCTCACGTTTATAATGTACATAAATTACAAATTAGCATATTTTGGGAAATTTTATTAATCATTGTCGGTATCTTTTTTAAATTTGCTGGGCCATTTATAGAAATTACCAAAATTAAATCAACTATGCATTGCAATTAAATAGCGGACAAAAAAATTGGTATTTAAATGTAAAATATTTTTTAAATTATTTTATTATAAATTAGTATAGTAACCAAGGAACTCATTTTTCAGTTTTCACTACATACAAAACGTGTCCTAAAGTTATTCATCGTAATCAATAAAATAAAAGATTAAAGTAATACAAAGCAATGTTTTTAAGAATTTATATTTATATATAATTGTCCCTGAAATTTAGTACATGGCAATATTATTTTTTCATTCGTCATTTAAAAAGCGAAACGGATCAATTATATCGGTTTTACCAACAATTATGGAAATCTTTTTTTCTACTGACAATTTTAAAACAAAGAGTCCTTGCTTTATGATGTAATTGTTATTCGCCATCCAGAGTTTCCAAATGAGTTTTCTTTTAAATGAGTTTTGTTGTAAAGCGATCGTGTTTTGAGTGCAAGAAAAAAAAACTGAATAGGTGTAGGTACATGAAATTTGTTTTAATACGCTCCAGTGACCGTTATTTCCTGAAATCTTATGATGTCTCTGAAAAATAAACAGTTTATACGATCAGCCAACTTTACAAAAAAAAAATACATCCCGATAAAATACTACAGTTCTATAGTACATTCGAAATTAAATCGATAACATTTACACTACAAACACATTCTATATCCTGTACGTTGTACCGTATAACCGTTTTTTATTGTACGGTTCATAAAATAATCGAAAATCTTCTTTGTCGCTTTCGCTTTTTGTAATTATACATTTCATAACTGTTATGTGTTTATTTATTTTAGAAGTTCTTTGGAAAATAAAACCATACGATTTCACACTACTTTGTGATTTAATTCGTGAAACGTTCAAACAATAGCTCTGCTAAAAACTGAGATATTATCTGCCAGCAAACTTCGCTTTTCTATTCCTGATTTGCATTGCTAATAAATAATCAATAACACCATAGGAGGTATACTACGGTATTCCAAGAAGACAGCATTCACATTCATGGCAGTTTGCTATTAAAAAAATGAGAATACATCTAAAAAATAGAGTTCATATCTTTAAATATGTAATTTTTGGAACAATATTTGTGTAAATTAATGAAGCTAAATGTCAGATCTGATTATTCACGGGTGGTTGGTTGTAGACGAGTCACGTTTGGTATTCGCTGAACACTGGCCCATAAATAAAACATACAGGAGGAGTAATCCACTGATTTTGTTAGCTTAACTATACCGTAATGTTAAAAATATGAACGTTCTCTCAAGTAATTCTCTAGAACGTTGTCGTTTCTGTAAGAAAATACTTTTTTTCAACGACTGACTTGAGTATATCCGTAAACCAACCCCGACAAAACCACATAATAAACTTTCTAGCCGACTGTTCACACAATATCTGTTAATTTAAAAAAAAATTATTTTTTTTATAAAATAATAAAAACTAACAATTGTCTAGTTAAATATTTGTTAACTGATATATGTTTGAGCCAATGTAATCATCCTTACAATAAATACACTACCAAAACACTCAATTACACTTTATTTGTCTACTGATGTCACTATATCTAGCTATTATATGTTAACCATCATCGCATCTTTACTAGTTATAAATGCCCTTTCTTTTATTCCATCCATCAAATTTCTACTCTATTAGACCATAAATCATATTATACTATCATATTAGTATATCTAATATCTGAAGCATAATAACATTCCTAGTATAAACTCTGTAAGTAAAAAAATATCCTAATAATTTTATATTTATCCATAACACGACAAAACTTAAGTCAATATTTATTAGTCTATATTTTAAAAATACACACTTTGCCAAGTTAATATGAGAAAGAAAATAGAATAATAATGAAATTATATTTCACTTAAATATTGTTTTTTGCACATTTTTTTTTTTTTTTTAACCTTGCATTTTGACCTTGGTGACGAAATTTTAGAGAGATTACATTGCCATTTAAGTATATTAAATAGTGGATATACCCAATTGTATACCCATTGTTATTTATATATTGTATTACCAAGATTGGCTGAAAGATAATATTATAGCTTTCATTTTTGTCGTTTTTTACTATTATATTCATATGTCTGATTGTTTATGTGCATTTTTTATTTCAGAACAATACCAAACATGTTAGCGGTGTTATTATGGTTTTTGGCAATTGCCTCTACTACCTTTGGTCAAAACCAGATACAAACAAATGGGTAAGTAAAAATAAAACATGACTCATTTATAGATTAATCCTTTGAGTATTTAAATTTTTATTTTTTATTCTATTTTTTTAGAATAAACTAATAAAAAAGCATACGACCACTTCCATTATGTTAAATTAATATATATATACATATATATTTTTTTTACTATCAACCATAGCATTGTATACCTTTGATAAAATTCAAAATTGAATATCTCATTATTAGGTATTGTTCCATTTTTTTCGTAAAAACAAAACAGTGGTTAGATTAAACGACATTCAAAAATATATAACGAATAAAAGTGGTGAATATTATAAATACTCTTATTGTTATAAGACATTTAAAATGCAGCGTACTAAAACGAGGACTATAATCGAACGACAATGAAATGGTTTTAGAACTAAAGTCTTTTGAAATATATGGATATTAAAATCAAAAATTATCGTTCCTTTTTGTATGCGTCTGGCTCTAACAATTCACTCTATAAATTTTAAATTGGAATACAAAATAAATTTCTAAAATAACGTTTTCTTTGGAAATATTATGTAAGTTAGTTTTGTAATTAATGAACACCGAAAAACAAAATAATAAAATCTTTTGTTGGACAAAATCACCAACTTAGAACCACAAACGCTTTCTTGTTTATATCGGTTCTACCGTTTCATTTACAATGATAACGAAGGCTTACAAAACTTTTTATTACAACTGAAGCGTTTAATATTATATTGTATAAGTTAAGAATGTTTTCACAAGATAAATTTACATATGAATGCGACTTTTCACTCGATAAGAACTGTTAACCGTGTAATCATTCAGACTATATTATAATTTAGTTACCTTAAAACTTTGAATCATTAAAACATTACAGAATTACGCAAGTGGAATCAATGCAAACGAACTTTTCGTACATGAACTATTGATTTATTTTAAAGTATTATTCAAAAATAAAATAACATTTTCAATAGTATTAATATTTTTCATCGTATAATAAGTTAAAAACCACGTGACATTGAATAATGGAAACTAGTTTTTTTTGAAAATAGATCTCATCCAATATTTAACAGAATAATAATTATAATTAACGATTTTCAAAATTAACAACAATGCTAAATTATAAGAAAATAAATGAAGCAACGAAGAGAATATGTGCGTATGAATAAGAAGGATCGACTATATATGACGACAGAAACGTGCACGATGATTGAATAGTTGCAAATCGTGATTGATTACAGGAAGTGTTAAAATTATTTTGGTTTAAGTCTAATGTTTACAAATAATTCTGGTTAGAGAAATACGTGGGGTGTTAAATATTGAAGAGTAATTAATTTAATGATAAACTTAAATTTCTTATATGTAACGTATAGGATTTATCATAATTTTTAATTCTAATTTCTCGTATTATAAAAAACACGACTTATAAATAAGTATATACCTAATTATGAACATTTTTTATACAAATAAACTTAACAAAAAAAAAAAACAATAAATGGTTCACTATGTATAGTATTATTGTATAAATAAATATAAAAGAGGATAAAATATATTAAAAAATGATAGGTAACAAAAACAGTTGGACGTGAAAGTAGTTCTTGTGTCAATGTTTGTCATAATTGAACAAATAGTTATAACTGTATTTTTGTAGTGAAAATTTAAATTCCAAACTAATTATTAGACAAATACAACAAAATTTAAATTGTAAAAACTATAACTAGAAATTGGCGTTAAAATTTCATTTTTTTGAATTTCGGCTGTTATTCAACCGTTTTTTAAATTGTTAAAATGTTGTTTTACAATACTACGACGAAAAAAATAATTAACAAAAATGAAAGTTTTCATGGTTATGTTTAGAGTAAATAATCTAACGTAGGTTAGGTGTATTTTGCGATTCGCACAAATTTTTTCGTAGGCTTGCAAAAGTGTTTATATTTATAAAAAAAAAAACGGCCAGAATAATTTAACAAAATGCAAAATCATTCGTTCAGCAATAATTTTTCTTTTAGTATCATGAATAAACTTTTATTTGATAGATTCATTTGCTCATAAGTCTTGTAAAGAAAATCCACTTAATTGTGTCTACTATTTTAGGTGAATTAATTTTGCTTATAGACTAAGGCTGTATTTTTCCTGTTTATTCTTTTAACTCAGTAAGGATGTGAATATTTGCACATTATGCACGGATTGTAAACAATCTTTTGTCTCTACACAATAATTTCCAACAAATAATTTTTTTAGTTTTGCATTTAAAGTTTCTGCACGGGCTTTGTCCGTCTAAACTTTCATCGCTGTAACTGCCGGGCATCTAGTTCCGGCTGTGACGTGACCTACTTGTCCTATTGTCGCAATCCATAGATTCTGTTCGAGGCTAACTTTCCTCGACGTATCCGCATGTGTTATACATATATTTGTTGATATATGTCATTATGCGTGTACTACAGAGGTTTGTCATGCAATTACATTGGTCGACCGTCCGGGTCATAAATATAACATTTAAGTGGCTATCTTATAATTCATATGATGTGTGTAAAATAGACTGAGATGGATATTACAGCCAAAGTTTGACACGAGTTCAACCCCAATTTACCTAAACGTTTTGTGATGAGATGAAGAGATGACATTTTACGCGTTTTTCGGACGTTTATTCATAATGTGGGGAATGGGGTCTGTTTTAGTCCATTAAAAGGTATTTTCCCGTTTTAAAATTCGCAAAGTCGGCTCTGCGTTCACCTACTCAACACGAGGGCGAACGCCCACCGTTTAAACAACAGTTCAACCGACTTTCGCGAATTATTATAATATGATACCATATTAAAATATTGAAAACGTGCGAGTAATTTTCGACTTGCACGTTTCAAATCCTCGAGATTCCTACAATACTGTTCTTATACATACCGACCTACGCTGTAATTTGCCCTCGTTTTTATTATGTTATTCCAACATTACAATTCGATGGCACTTTGATGTTACTTTCACAAGATCATATGAGGGAAACGCTTACAATTTTACATCTATAATGAGTATTTGGTATACATGATGCCACGGGTATACTTAAATATTTAAGCTACCAAAACCCACGGTTTTGCGGTTTATAAGCCACCTCATCATCAATAATTGAATTAATTTTGTTATATGTTTCTACACAGTAATAATATTTAACTATTTTTAGAAGAATGTCAATTTATTGACATTGTGTTTAACAATCGCCGAGGTTTTTAGTTAAATTACATTTGTTATTTACAAACATTTTTTACCTTCGCTTCAAGTAAATTTATAATTATAAAAATTTTATGGTTCTTTTAAAATTATTGGAAGTGAATGGGATTCCAATAAAAAAATACGGACTAGCCAATGGAATGGAATTTAAATTCTTCAAATTAAAATATTGATATTTTATCATGGGTAAAATGGTACTGATTTTGCACGCATTTATGAAATCCATAGAAGTAGAAGAAAAAAATGAAAACACAGTAATATCGGTATCCCAACCTTCAGAATTTCATTTTTTATCCGATATGTATTTAATAGTGTTCATGATAAACCAATATATAGTGCACCGATACATTATTGTTTAGTGGTCAAATTTGCGGAACTGCGATGGAATTGGAGTGGTTCATGGGATAGTAACATTATTATTAGGTATCATTATTGCGATATGAAAAAGAATTTCACTAGTGCGCATAGAGTTATTCAGTCGTCTAGAACTTCTTAAAAGACTGATAATTCAATTTCACATCAAACAAAATGGAAATTTAATAAATCGCACATGTTTCATTAAGAACGTTCTCAAAACAAAGTATTGCTAATAATAATTTTAAATAAGTGTAAGAAAAATAATGATATTCCGAAATTTGTTAGATATTGTGTTATTTTAATTTTTCAAAACGCATTTTTTTTTTAATAATTAAACATTACTGTGTAAAATGTTAAATAATGCTAATTCGAAGATATAATGTATTATATTTGGTTAATATTATAAAATATTTTACATATAATTATTTGTAAAGGAAATTCTTCCGAAAATATATATTTATTTAATGGTATTTCCCCTTTTTCGTCATTTATCACCATCAAAAACAATTAATTGTTTATGAACTAATCATTGAGCCATTGCCACACTTTAATAGTTTAATACCACACTAACAATCCAGCAGCTATTTCAAAAATGGCGTTATTTATTTTTCTAATGAAAATATTGTATATGCACACTATGAAAATGAGAAAACAAATGGTTTTGCACATAAAAAAAGCTTGATGACCATTATAATATCTAATTACCTACTTAAAAACCGTTGCGAAGTCACTGCAGCGGTAAACCACACACGCATTAATTAATGGTTGAAAGATTATAAATTTAACATTTATTATTTTAGTTAAAAAAAAATTTTCATTAAACATAAGCCATTGGATAAGACAAGATCTGNCACGCATTAATTAATGGTTAAAAGATTATAAATTTAACATTTATTATTTTAGTTAAAAAAAAATTTTCATTAAACATAAGCCATTGGATAAGACAAGATCTGAAATTTTGACCAATTTTGATTGTTATCAGTTAATTATAAATGGAACAATTGAAATTTCTTGCTTTAAACCATTAAACGTCGACAATGAATTCACTAATCGTTAATTGAATCGGGCAATTAATTAAATTAATAATTCAATAACATTACTTAAACTTAATTGAATAAACAGTCATCGCATTGACAGAGTATAAATGTGTTTAAAATTTTGAATATAAATAATCTTGGTCCAAAATATGAACCGATATAATTTGATTGCTATAACTTTATTAATTAGACTTTTCTCTCACGATGAATTTAACCAAGTCTCTCTCAAGTTCAATTTATAATGAACGGTAAAACTGAACATGAATAGTATTAAACATTTTGGTGCTATGACAACGAATATCTAATGAAATCGCATCTCTAACATATTATGTCACATGACCGCCGACCGTGACGTTGAGAACAGTTGCTACATTAATTATTATTATTATCATAATAATATGGGTT